TCACACCAGTGGGTGACTACAGGTATTTGCTAGTCGTTGTAGACTATGCAACGCGGTGGTGTGAGGTTACGCCAATTGCAGCTGCGGATCACAATCACGTGATGATCATGCTGAGTGCAATTTGCGCCCGATTTGGCATCCCCAGAATCTGCTTTTCTGACCGGGGAATGGCATTTAAGGAGCGACATCTTCGACAGATGGCACGTGATCTTGGAGTAGCATGGGTCTATTCACCAGCCTACTCGCCTAAAAGCAACGGACTGGTTGAGCGCACGAATCGTGAGTTGTTGGATCGCTTGAGGAGGCTAACTGATGGACACAGCGAACTGTGGATACGCGAGTTGGGGCGCGCAGTTCTGGCTGTCAACTCCCGGATTGTTGAGTCAATGAAGTGCTCTCCTTTCGAAGCTTTGATGGGGTATACACCAAAGCGAACACATGAGGTGGCGGTACCGGTACACAGAGTGGAATCACTAGCGGAGGGCTGGAGAAAACCGGAGCCTGAGGAATTGCAGCAGAGAATTGACGAACTGCAGTTGCGCCGTGATGGGATTGATGCAAATCGAGCAGCCGTAGTGAAAGGAAGAGAAGAAACCACCAAAACTGTGCGCAAGGTTCAGTTCAAACCGGGTCAAAAAATATGGTTACGCAATACGGTGAGGTTCAAGCAGCATGGGCGGAAATTAGACCCTCACTGGCTTGGACCATATCGTATTTTGCGTCGCCTCTCTGATCAGAGATACGAGATTGATCGGAAGGCACGAGGCGCTGATTCGGAAGAAGTCCATGTTGATCGTCTCAAGGAGTTCATCGAACGGAAAGTAACTAAAGGACAGTGATGGCAAGACCGCGATGATCTGTGTGAACAAAGTGTATGCAAGGATTCTACATCTGCTTGATAATTGAAGTAAAGGGCTATGAAAAGGGCCGGATGGTATTTGATTATTGTAACATTGTGGATTCGAGAATGCGATGAGATATTATGTTTAAGTCAACTGAGATGATGGTGTTTAGAAAATGCATGAAAGATCGCAACGAGGGCGTTCGCGATTGAGAGTAATGGGGCTGTATGTTACGGCTAGAACTGATTGAGTGTTATAAATAACTGAATGTACGAAAAGATGACGAAGCACTAGGAATTACATTAAGGATGTTGATGAACGGACTGGGTATAAAGGACAGAGCGTCTGTTGTCCTTTTGCCTCGGCTGTAAACCGTTGCCGTGGACTTGAGCGTACGATTCCCGTTCAGGGATCGCCACCCCTCGACCCTGCCTGCCTTCGTCAATAGCACTTTCTGAATGTTTTTAGCGCGTTAATTCTCACGAATAATCGCGACGACGACTTGATGGCATTTTGGGGGGTTGTTCCGTGACTGACATTTGGCCGACCTGTTCTAAGATTGAATTGTGGCATTGCTGCTTTAATGCCCCGCACATCTCTTCCTTGTCTGCGTGCAAAATTCTGGCACTATTCTTACTCCTCTCAGCGATTGTGGAATCAGAAGCATACTATGCAAGTTGGAATTACGTGGTATCGAAGCTTATCCACAATAGAAAACGTGACCCGGAAAACCCTGAGTTTTGTCGCCCTTTCATGCTGATTTCAAGCCACTGCAAAGCGTTTTTCCGCATTCCACCCTTAAGATCTACACAAGGAGGTTCAGGTAAATCGTTGCTATCAGAATTTCAGTTGGGGTTCGGTTTAATTTCTTCCCCTGCGATCACCTCTTCAGTCTCACGTTGTTGGCAAGATGCGCCATGCGCAAGAGACAACTAGTTTCTAAATATAGACTTTCGTAAGGCCTGTGGATGCAGCCAATAACCTGGCGGTTGCCCAAATCCCAAAGTTCTGAAGCTCGTTGATGTTCCACCATCACTGATTCTGCAATTGCTGGAAATCAATGTGCACCTTGAAATCCCTAAATTGCACAATGACGCGCAAAGAGCAGCGCATGTAGACGCCGTCAGTTTCTCTTGAGAAAAATCCTTTATTTGATCAAGAGTGCAATCGCAAGGCCCTGTAGTATATTCAACCCTTCCGCATGAAAAAAAATTGGCGTTGTGGTTTTGCTCTGCATTTGTTTTTCAGAGAGCTATTATTACTGTTTTTACGTGAATCCGCACAAATTTTTGGTACAAGAGCGTTGTTTATTTTGTTTTCATCTTCGCGGGGAAAATCCAAACGTTACTTTATTTTTGGAAAGGTTTAGAAAACAGCAGTAGTTCATCATCAATCCCAATGGAGATGGACTCCGGCTTAGAGCGCTTGGTTCCGTAAGTCCAGCGCAAATCGCCACAGCAAAGCCACATCTTCTTCTGGGTCTGATCCTGCCTGCCTTCCCTCACAAACGCTCATTTCAATGTATGTTCATCGACAATCTCTTTTCTGACAGTAAAATTGCTGCATGCAGGATTTCACTTGTCCAATTCTCCGGATATTCAACAAGCAAGCCACGGACACTGCCCTTCTGGGGCAAATATGGGAGGCGACGCTACTCTCCCTACCTGCCTCGACAGGTCTGTCGAGGCGAATCGTCAACCCTGGTTCCCAGGCACCGCTTCTTGAATCTCGAATGTACTATTGTCTTTGGGACCCCTCCGCATAGCAACGCAACGCTTGGCCTTTTTTGTCGAGAAAATAATAAAATAAACAACGTTCTCTTGTTCAAACGCTTGCGGAGCAAAGTCAGAATAACAAAAAGGACGCTCTGAAAAACAAATTGCGGAGCAAAAAGCCTAACAGCAAAATTTTCCGGTGCGCAAGGGTTTGAAAACCCACAGTAAGCGACACCCAAACGAATCAAAAGGATATCCTCCCTTCACATTCCAACCGAACTATCCACGCGAACCTTTGCCGGCAAACGCGGCCGGCGTCCGCCGCTGGCCCACAACCCTGCCGGTGGCTGCTGCCGCGCCATGCCCCTCCCTCCCGGGCCGCCTACGCCCGCCTGGGCTGCGGCGCGGCGGCCACCCTGTCCTGGATGGCCGCCTCGACCGCGATGATCCTCCTCAACAAGGCGGCCCTCAACGACGGCTTCGCGTTCCCCCTGACCCTCACCGGCCTCAACCAGCTGGCTTGCATCGCGGGCGGGTTGGCCCTCTCTCGCCTACGCGCCCTCCCACCGGTGCGGATGGCGAAATTTGCGATCAAACAAATCGCCCCGTTGGCTGCGAGCAATGGTGCCACTCTGTACATGGGCGTCCTGGCCTACGTCTTCCTGTCCGTGGCATTCGTCCAGATGCTCAAGTCCCTGGCTCCGGCGATCACGCTGCTGGTGACCCTGGCGGCGGGGCTGGAAACCCCGTCCTGGGAGCTGGGACTGTCGGTGGGCCTGATCGCCATGGGCGCCGGTGGGGTGGCTTTGATCGAGGCAAGGGGACCGGCATTCCATCCTGCAGGGGTGTTGGTTTTCCTGGCTTCGGCGCTTGCCGATGCGCTGAGGGTCGTGATGGCTCAAGCCGCCCTGGGCGCCGGTAGCCTCAACACTGCGGAGCTTCTGGTTTTCCAAGGGGGCCCCACGGCGGCAGTGCTCCTGCTGGGGGCGTATTTGAGCGAATGGGATGGGCTGTGGATAAAGGGGTTCGGCCTAATGGCGCGGCGACCGCTGCTGTGCCTGTCGACATGCGGCATCAGCTTCCTGGTGCAGCTCACGGGCTTCTTCGCGATAAAGTACACGTCGTCGCTGAGCTTCAAAGTGGCGTCGATCGCCCGGAACGCGGCGGTGATGGTGTGGGGCGTGGCCTGGGGAGACAGGCTGCTTAGCGGGCAGCTGATGGGGTACGGCGTGTCAATCATTGGGGTCGCAATCTTTCTGAGAGCGAAGCGGGAGGGGGTAGCGCGGCCCAAGGTCAAGGCGGAGTGATAATGGCGAGTCTCATGGCATTGGCGGATGTGGGGATTGCGTCGAGTGCAGCCATGGTCTTTGGGCTGGCCCTGACACAACCGTTTGAGCATCCCGGTTGAGCGAGGGGCCTGAGGCCAGGCGGGACCGGAGGTGGAGGGGCGGCGGGGGTGGGGGTGGGGTGGGGGGGTGGGCGCCGTAGCCGAAGCGACTGCCCTTCTTGGTGGAATGTCCACAAGCTGAGGACAGCGGAACCCTCAGGGAGGATTCTACTTTTTACTTTTCTGGAATGCCAGCAATAACTCACTCGCTCTTTGGGGAGCTGCAGGGCGAATAGTTTTCGCTTTCAATTCTTTTTGCCTCAACTCGAAACACCATTCTTCTTTTACCAATTCTTTGTATCATTACAAGCAGTTTTAAGAAGCACAGGGGCATGGATGCAAGCCTGCGTTGCAGTGAAAGCATTCAAATATGCCAACACAGTTGGCTCTTTGTTCAGCTGTTTGCATTGCACACAACCGGCTTGCGCTACAGGTATGTAGAATTGTATGATGTTGGTTTGCATACTGTTGTGTCTTGAACGAAAGCAAGCAAAGCTGTCCAATTCTCAATCCACTTGCAAGTTTTTTCTTTGCCAACATGTGCTGGATCAACAACCTGCAGCTCCTGCTTTGCGAGCATGTGTTGGTTCAAAACCTGCAGCTCCTGTATGCTACTTGTGCAACATTCTGTAGCAAGAGTGGACGCATAGAAGTGAATGTGCGACTGGTTGGGCAGAAAGAACTTTCGCTTCAAAATGTATGCATCCAGAAGAAACAATGCAAAATGCACATAATCGGCAAAATCGAAGCCACCGAGACGACTGAAGGTCACCCCTAGCGCCCTCGGGTTTGGTTTCCAACTGCACGCATCTGAGCAGAGAAACAGCCGATAAATAATTCCGTAGCCTCCACCAGCAATGCTCCCGTGCACAGCAGAGGCAACAACTCCGCCAATGAAATGATCTTGAACCAATTGAAACAATCTGATCTCCCACCCCAGCCGTCCACCCTTCAGCCTATGCCACCCAACCTCACATGTGCCTGGCCCAGCCCAACCGGCCCAGCGGTTTCCCATGCCAATCCGATGCAGCCCGAGAGTCGAGACGTGGGCCGCTCTCAAACCTTGGGAATCTTTCCGGGTGCCATCCGTATCCTGATGGCCTTCGGTGTTACCTCCACAAGCTCGCTGGTTGTGATGTACTCCAAGGCTGCCTCCAGGTTCATGTCCTTCGCCCTGTCCAGCACCACCGTCTGGTCTTTGTTGGCTGTGCGCATATTTGTGAGCTGCTTCTTCTTGCACACATTGATGCGCATGTCTTGACCCCGGTTGTTCATGCCCACAACCTGTGGCCACAAAGCACATGCAACTGCCTCATTCAGACATGAATATGAAAATTCTGGAGAGTCGATGAATCTAAGAAAGAGAAGCGCCTCCTACCCATCAGTGGTGCAAGACAGTGCAACCCACCTGCCCTTCATACACGCTGTCACCAGGCTTGACGAACATGATGCCCCTCTCCTGACATGACTCCAGAGCATAGGCCGTGGCCGTTCCCGTTTCGTGTGCAACAAGAGAACCATTATCGCGCGTTGAGATTTCGCCACATGAGGGCTCATAGCCTGCCACGTTGGTGTTGAGAACTGCTGTGCCCTTGGTTGCAGTCAGAAGCTGGGACCTCATCCCCAACAGCCCCCGAGTTGGGATCACATACTTCAAAACCTGCGTTGCACCAAGGCCTGCAGGAAGCAAATGTGCATGCAGCAATCAATACAACCACCCCTGCAGCAGGCAGGAGCAACCATCTCTGCAACAGGCAGGAAAAAAACGTTACAGCAAGGTTGCGAAGCCTATCGAGTACACTGGCACCAGAAATATCGTGAATGGCTGTGCTGGATCAATCTGTGCAAGGGCAGTGTTTTGTCATGTTTATGCAAATGTAATCAAAGGATTTGAGCAGCCTAGTTTTTTCATTCTGCCTTTGCTGCTGTCAGGTACCTGGTCCCAAAATTTGTCCTAACATGATAGAACTCAGCCCTAGTGATCTGCTGGTGGTGATGTGCAGAACCAGAATAGTTCTAAACTGTTCATTCATCCACACACCACTGATGCACTTTGCTGCAATAGGTCTTGCTGAGATGGCCACGCATACCTGCGGACATGTCCAGCATGCGGCCTTTCCTGCGGCCAAACAGTTCCACCACTGACCCCATGTGCTCCTCAGGGACCTCCACAAGCGCTTCCTCAAATGGCTCGTACGTTTTCCCATCAATGGTTTTGGTGATGACCTGGAAAGCAAGCACACATAGTCTCAGCAAGGGCATTGAATACACAGCACAAGCCTATGCATCAATTTAACGAATTTACTAGATATTGCTGCCTGAAATCTAGCGTCGTTGGCTTCTAATGGCTGCCACAACTCCACCCCCCTTTTTCCGCTGTTTTGCTTTCCTCTTCCTTTTCTTTTCTTTTCTTTCTTTTCTTTTCACTTCTTTCTTTCCTTTTCCATTTTACTGTTTTCTTGGTTTCTTGAAGACACTGTGGACTGGAATAACAGGATGAGCCTGCAGCCAGTAAAAGAATCAACACCTCGTGACATGATATGGGCACAAGGGCACCTGGTGTGTTTTCTTTCATTCCACATCTTTTCACACACTAAAAACTCCAGTTACCACAGATACATACTGCTGAACCAGCTGAGATATGTTGAACAGCAACAGCGTGGTTGCCCCCTTGGAAAGGGCCTGCAGTGTGGTTGCCACTGTGGCAAAGGCCTCCAATCGTTAACGATTGGCTGTTGAGGCACCCGACTGCCTAGAATCTATATAGAATTCCGAAAGTCAAAATGGCAAGCCTTGTGGTTTACCATTTGTATTACAAGGTCCAATACCAACAAGAACATGCTTGCCCTTACAGCCAGTAGTTGGGTGAACTCAAACTGCACAAACAGCCGTAATTCATGCAATTTCTCTGCACTGGGCATAGATGAGCTGATCGTTCCTTGCTTCAGAATCCTGGAAGAAAATCATAATGTGGAGCAAAATAATCGTCACTGCCTTGTGAATGAATTGACAACAGTTTGTCTAGTCAGACGAACGTCCTTTTCAACATCGCACCGTGATCGGTCCCACAGCGATCTCGTATCCCTCCCTCCTCATGGTCTCGATCAGGATGCTCAGGTGCAGGCCTCCGCGCCCGCTGACCATGAACACATCAGGCGTGGCGCCAGGAGTCACCTGGAGGAAAGGAACCGCAATGACATTGGGACCACACTACACGGGATTGACAAGCAACCAGCATCGCCAAAATGGTGACGAGTTTGCGATTTCTCATGTTGCGGAAATGCGATCTGTGAAGATTTGCAGGGCATCCGAACAATGTTGGAAATGCTTAGCTGAAAGATAAAAGCTCTTCAGTGGTAGGTTCAATCAGTGCCTAACAACAAAACTATTACAAAATTGGCAGCCTCAGCAAATAGCTGATGGCAATGAGAAGTCGATTTGCATCCAGTGGCACCTGGTTCATCAAGGACCACCACTTGCGGTTTGATAGCACAAGAGTTTGCCTACTGGTCGACACATATAAGTCTGTGAATCTTACAGCAGCATCACCAAACCACATATACACACAATCACGATATACTGCTCTGACAACAATCCACAACTCTGCCATAAGCATGAATATTCCCAGCCTCTACCTTCAACGCCAAGTTCCTCTCCAACTCCCTCTCCAGGCGTTCCTTGATGTTTCTTGTGGTCACAAACTTGCCCTCTCGCCCTGCAAAGGGACTCGTGTTCACCATGAATGACATGGTGACAGTCGGCTCCTCTACAGTAATCGTGGGCAGCGGGTTGGGGGCATCTGTGTGTGTTATGGTCTCGCCGATCTTGACATCAGGGAGACCAGCGACAGCACAAATGTCACCTGGTGTTGAAGCACAGTAGACATGAGCTACTAGTTGTGAAAAGGCAAAGGGCCAGCCGTGAACCTAATTGTGATTCACAACCACCCAATCACCATAATGCATGACAGCCTAGACATATTCCCAACAACAGCTCGTTGGCGCCCAATTCAAGTCACCATGTTATCATTCACTGCTGAACAACTAGTTCCTGCAGTGTCAAACCATTAGTCTATTGTCTGTGCCAATATTTACTCTACATAATATTATGCAGATTACAATATACTTGACATTAGTTTGAGTTGTGTTGAACGTGTGCTAAATTCTGTTAGGCTGCATCGAAAAAGGTGGGGCAACTCCATGGTAAAGCACCATGATGCCCGATGTTCCCCAAGGAAAGGACAAGGAAAACCGTTCACTCCAAACCTGGCTCAAAAACCTAAGCAAGCTTCAAGTCAACAGCCAGCGACAAAGTCAAGGCAGGCTATACAAAGTGCGATGCTCACCGGCTTGCACCTCATCCACAGGAACCTCTTTGAAGCTGTCATAAACAAGGAGCTCCACAACTCTCCCAGTCCTGCATGCTGACTCATCGTCCTCCTTGCAGATGGCAATCTGGCTCCCTTGCTTGATCGTACCAGCCTGCACCCTTCCGATCGCCATTCGTCCCTTGTGTTCTTTGAAGTCGATGTTCGTCACAAGCATCTGAAGTGGAGATGCTGCCTGTACACTTGGTGGGTCGATCTGTGGGGATCCAGAGCATCCAGAGATTCAGTCGGCAACTGTGGCACAAACCAATTTCATTGACACTCAGATGTCAATTGGTAGTCACACAGCTAAACACTCAGCCATCTTGCAGTTGCAACACAAGGGAAGGAACATGCCACACATGCTAACAGAGTTGCTGGCAGGCTGCATTCCCAATTTGCAGGTGACACCTCTACATACGGCAGAGATCACTTACAGAAAATAACTGTCTCCCTTGCGTGAGTGAGTTTGTGCACGGCAGCCTGAACAATTGTAGACTAACCCTCCAGCTGCTGAGAGGCACTAGACAATGCCATCGTCTGCGATGGGCGTGTGACTATTGCTGTGATGTCATTCCATCAACAATGACCACTGTATCCCATTAACTGAGAGAAGTGCAGCAAATAGCAGGGCAGCAAACTGCATCTCTTTGCTCAATGGTGCTTATTCACCGGGACTTCAACTGACCTCCTTCATAATCGTTTCGAACAGGGGCTCAAGGCTATCTTCCAGGTCATCTGCCTTCATCCCTGCAACTCCTTGAAACCCTGAGGCGTACACCACGGGGAAGTCACACTGAGCATCGTTGGCGCCCAGTTCCAAGAACAGCTCAAATGTAGCATCCACAACATAATCTGGCCTGAGAAAGTGACACAACGATTTCTTCGATTCGCATTGTCAAAACGCCACAACAAACAAGTCATTGCACGTCACATGAGTAATGTTGACGCAGTAAGGTGCAATCACTGCTTTTTTAAAGTACAATAATCGTATTTTCACACATCGAAGAGATGGAGAAGGTACAGAAAGAGCTGGGAAAGTTTCGACACAAAGTGCAGGGTGGTCGTGTTTTGATTGAGCTGCATCAGCACAAGGTTTGTAGCACATTGGAAAGGATGTGTGGGCAAGCAAAGGGGCAGTCCTGGGCAGCACATCCCACATACCAGCACTACCTAACGAAATTCCCAGGTGGTATGCAGAAATTGAGATATACAAGGACTGGCAATCACTGAATACATTGCTTTGAAAGTCAATATGTTGAAGCCAAACCTCTCTGCCTTCTTTCATGGGATATGGCTGAGGAGGTGATATCGATCATGCCAGGCAACTGCAGAGAGCACATGTGTGGGGTCAAACAAACTCGCCCATTCAGTTGCAACTTGTTTTGCACGATTCTCATAGGATATCCCATTCCCTGCAGCAGCCATACGAAGCCTGATCCTGTGCTGTCTCTGCCACTACATATGCACGTTATGACCCTTAATAATTGCCTCTGCACACACAACGGTGCACTGCATTTTCTCGGCCTGATGCACGGCACCTGGCTGCTTCCCGGTCGATCTTGTTCACAACAACTATGACCTTCTTGTCAAGTTCCAGCGCCTTTCGCAGTACGAAGCGTGTCTGGGGCATGGGCCCCTCCACTGCATCGACAAGGAGCAGCACACCTACAAGATAAACACAAATACATTCACCTTATTGTTCTCTTTATCCTTGAAGACTTGGGGTTTGTGGTGTTGTCTTGACAAGCATTGTGAACGCACTACCTAGCACTAGCAAGCTGGCGCTGCATGGCCATCTGAGCTCATTAAAGGTAAGTGTGTTGCCCAAATTGTCGTTTTTCTTACATTTTACCATACACTCAATGCATTCAATACATTTGCACAATACTGCAACCTTGAAATATTTTATAACCTTTGCGCATGTTCATACACATTACCATTTTAATACATTTCTCTTCATTCATCCTTTCCCTCTTCTTTAACTGTTACATCATGCCAGCGGATGCCAATATCATCCACCCAAGAAGCTAATCCAAGCACCTGAGAATATTCTAACACAAGGTTACTATCAATACAAGCTCCAAAACGTCATCAGAAATAGCACCTGCACCCACCATCGGCCATGTTGAGAATCCTCTCAACTTCTCCTCCAAAGTCGGCATGTCCTGGTGTGTCAATGATATTGATTTTGCAGTCTTGGTACCTAATGGCTGTGTTCTTTGACAGGATGGTGATGCCGCGCTCACGCTCCAAGTCATTCGAGTCCATGATGCGTTCCTCGACGCTTTGGTTGTCTCGGAAGACGCGTGACTGTTGCAACATGGCATCCACCAGTGTTGTCTTGCCATGGTCCACATGTGCAATGATGGCAAGGTTCCTTATGTCAGACCTGACCACTAATTCGTCAACATCTTCGGCAACATCATCTGCAGAATAAGGAAATGCAGTGTTCAGCGGTAAAAGAACACATGTGGTATCTGATGCTGGGTGACAATTAAAATAAGAGCAAACTACAGATTAAACATACCAATATAAACAAAAAGTTAAGCCATATGACAATGAACATACAAAAACACAATTAAAAGCACAACAAAGGACAACTACAATCAATTCAAGGATATCACAGCTGCATACATAACAGCAGTTGCCCACAAACGAGTGTGCAGTCACAGCAGCCGCTGCCCAGAAGTCCATTAGCTTTTAGCGATGTTACTTGAGACAATCGTGCCCTGCTGAGGGCGATGAGACTCCAGGTGATGGACACGTGACATGAAATGTGCTCCTGAGACAATGCATGCTGGTCCATGCAAGCTGATCAACAGCAAAGATAACAGCACTTTTTGCGCATGGGAGACGTCCCCCTGGTGAGCCAAGGAATTGGGAACTGCATCGTGGATGCAGTGATTGTGATTTCTGGCCCTGTATCTTTGCGACTGGCCAAAACATTGAACAAGGTCATTTTTTACCAAGAAACTATTCCAGAACGCTGCTTGTGTCTGACACAAAGGCCAACAACCGGATTAGCGTACCTCATCCTTCTGGAGCCTTGCAGAGCAACAACTGGTCAATTGGAGACCCCAAGAAGGGTTCATGGGACATTGCCAGAACAGGTGGGCTTCTCAAAGCTCCTTGAGACTGTCATCCACACTTCTCAACACGGGTACTCGCAAGTTGCCAGTTGCACTAAGTCTGGGGCCGCTCAGAGCGCCCCGTTAACCGATGCGCACCTGCCACCTGCGCGGCCGCCATGCACTTGCCCTGCTGCGACGAGGCATGACGTCTGGAAATCACGCCGGAGATTGGCCCCACCAGAAGCGCCGCCGCGCGGCATTCTGAACAAACGCCGTACACACCTCTTAGCACCAGCGAGACACAAAATCCGCACATATCAACGCCAGGTGCCATGCGCGCCGATAACTGGCACACACCCTTCGCCGTCCTACCAACCCAATCAAGCCTCACCTCCGATCTTCCAACAGCAATCAAGACCCAACCCCGTTCCAGAAAAACTGCGCAATCTGCTGCTCTCGGCATCAAAGCCAGCCACACCGTGTCCGCCAATCGCAGTCTACCCAGCCCCAGCCAGAAGGACTGCGCAATCTACTGCACCATCCAATGATGCTAACAACACCGTTTCAGCCAACTGCACTCTACCCCATTATAAGCTCGAGAAGGATCGCCCAATCTACTGCACCCTACAACGGAGCCAACAACGCGGTTTCAGTCGAGGCGCCGGCATCTGTTTCGGTAGATTCTGATCGCGCCGATGGATGCCCACCGGCTGGCACTCACTGGGTGCGCAATGGGCGAGGCGCGGGGGAAGGGTGCGTTGGGCCAGCGCGGGTAGCGGCCCCGCCAGCGCCTTGTGGCCGAGCATGGGCGTCAAGCGGGGGACGGCCCTCTCGCAAGGCTGCAAAAAAGGTGGCCATTCTGAGGCGGAGGGGGGTGGCTATGGGCGGCCACAGACAGCGAATGCCTACCGCATAAAGTACACCTTGCGCATCAGGGCAGTCCTAAACTCATTGCTGCACCTAGGAATGAGTGGGAGGCTGCAAGTGATCGGTAGCAAGGGGTGCGAGCAAGAAGGTGTAGAGGTTGTCGATCGACGCTTGATTGAAGCGCGCAGGGGGAGGGCACGGGATGGTTCATGAATGTGGGGACTGTGCAGGGCTGGCCGGAAAGGCTGGTGCCTGGAACAAGAACTTGTTGCCTGACGTAATCGGAGCAGTCGTTCAAATGTTGTACACAACATTGGCGTAAACAGCGCATGAAGTGCGTACCTGATGCGTTGCTTGCGCCCTAGACTGGGGGACAAGTGCGCCACCCCCGCCCAACAAAAGATAAGGAAAATGAGCGAGCATTTAAGTGCATTGGAGTTGCAACTGCAGCGGCATAGAACGCCACGGAGCAAAATGAATGTTGGCGGGCATAACCTGTGAGACGTGCAGGATATCCAGCCATTGGGCCACTGTCGGCTGGTTATCAAAATGCACAACTCACCGTGTCGAGTTTTGATCTATGGGGGTCCGAGAACGGCGCCGGTGGTAGCTGAACCTTGTGATACTCACTGATCGATGATGTCCTTGAGTCTAAGGAGCTTCCAATAGTGGCATGCGGAGTTCGGATCGCGGAGCACTCTTTTCAATCCATTGAAAGGCGTTCTGCTATTAAGGCCATTACACTGAATATCCTTTGGAAAAAAGTGAGAACAAGTGATTATTTCCGAAATACTGCCAGGCACAAGAGTTGGCAACAATATTCCTGAATGGGTCTTGGCGGTGGAGGAGTCCACCGATTTTTCTCGCTTTCGTTGTGTCTCCAAAATAAGTTAGTATAATAAAATGAGATTACTGCGATAACTGAAAGATGGCAGCAGGTTTCTCATAATACTGATTGAACGGAAGAAACGAGAACAGCATCGAATTGCCTCTGAATCACCAAGCAAGCCTGTCCAATGGCGGAGAAATCACCAGACGTCAGCGAGTGATACCAAACGTGCCTACGCACAGCTCACTGAACCGAAAAATCAACGATTTCGTGATTCTCTGAATTGCAGAAGCGCTGTCAGAAATCCGGCTTATCCTGGCACATGGAAATATTGAGCGTCGGTGACTACCGCAATCGCCACAAATTTGGCTATTTTCCCCTTAAAAATATCTCTAAGTTGTGTGGAGTTGTTAGGTAATGTTTTTGAGTCATCTTGGCGTCGAAATAAGGATTGGCGCTGGGGATGGGGGGGGAGGGTGGGGAGGGTGCTGAGCTTGACGTCACATTGACGCCAAACGTACAAAATTCAAAATAGCATCTTCCCTAAAGAAGCCCGAGATGTTTTAAAGACCAGCCATCATAGTGGCCAGGGGGGGTCGCCGCAGCCACCGCCTCCATTAGGGCGCCCTGAAACACACGCAGTACCAAGGCTTCGCCAGAACTTTGCCCAGAGCATGCCGGAGCGCGAAAGCTTGTCCACCTTCAAGTCTGAAATAGGTTTCCAAAGTCCCCCGCGGCGCACCCACAGCGCTGACAGCAACCGCGATCTGTCAGAACAGACTCCAATGCAAAATTCCGGGTCAAGCCGCGGAGTCCAACAAGGCACCCAGTCTGTGCTTCTCAGCGTGCCCATCACGCCCGCGCGCGCAGTTTTCAAAATGCAGTCGACTTGACAGATGGGCCCCCCGCGGTCGAGTATCGGCGGCGGGCATTTATGTTGCCGCCCCAACCGCCCTCATGCCTTTCTTGCACACATAAAGTCCCGCTGCTACCTACGCACCGGAGACCTCCGATTGGCAGAGCCGTTTCAGAACACTGGCGATCGGCTGTCCGTCGCGGGCCAGCGGGAGTGGCACAGCGCGCAACGTTCCTTCCTTGCGGCTGGTGGACCGTCGCTTTTTGCGGCGCCACAGGGCGACCCAGCACCAAATTCGCCTTGGGGAAGGCAGTCGCTAAAGCATAGCCGCAGAGCGATCCTGCACCGGCTTGCCCTTGACTAAGGCAGGCGCAAAGGATAACAGCAGGGCGATCCAGCGGCGCTGCGATCGATACACAGCGGGGAGATCCACTGCTGTCTTCTGGGTGGTTTCTGCGGGGGCAAGGGCGGCTCAGAGCTGATCGCTCGGTGTGAATTCGGAATGAGGGCGGGAGGATACTGTGGCGGGGAGCGGGCACTGTGAGGGGCCGCCGGCGTGGGCGAGGTCATGGTCGATAGGTGAGCCATGCCGATCGCTGAGCTCCGCGTCGCGGCGACCGCGGCTTGGAGAACAATGGGAATGTGCGTTGAAGGATCTGCTCGTCCATTACATGAGCGCGTGTGCAGCGCTGCGACGTACACTGGAACCACTGGTAGAAAACAGCCTGTTTGCGATGCCAGCTGCGATGCCATTTTGACACAAATTGATACCGTCACAGTGAGTGCGATGGCACAAAAGTGGCTGTGATGGCATCAATTTGCGTCAAAATGGCATCGCAGCTGGCATCGCAAACAGGCTGTTTTCTACCGGTGAACGTGGCGTCCTATGTGAGTGCGCGCTTTTGTGCGGGGTGTCGTTGGTTGCCGCACGGAAGATTGGGAGCTCCTGGCAAGGTTGCCGCCCTTTAAAGGCAGACCCACTTAAGTGGGTCTGCCTTTTAAAGGGTACGCCGGCTCCCACGGTCAAACGAGGCTGATGCTAATGGAATTGGGCATTATGACTCGTGAATCATGGCAATGGTGAGAAGATTATGAGCAACGTCCTGAACAGAAGTCAGAGTTGATGTGTATCCTGGTATGCAGCCCAGTTACGACGTGGAATTTATGCAACTGCTGTAATGGACCGCATTTTACCGCATTGTGGTTTTGAATCAGCATACGTGTAGGAAGTGAGGAGAGCCGAGCACGTGCAAACAGCGTTTCTGTTTACTATATAAAATGGATCAAAAATTTTGCCTTTGCGGCTTCATAAAGTACACACAAGGCATTGCTGTGCAATGAAAAGTTGCCACATTTTCAAGAAATAAAATGCCGCATGATGTGTCACATAAATCCATTCTTGCGCTCTCGGACTGTCGGAAATTCAGACGTTCCTATTTTGCAGCACAAAAACAATCCTGGGACACGTTACTGACGCCGGTGGTTATTATATTATCAAGCGAATGACATCCTACTCCATTTTGCTATATCACAGCAAACACATCTGTACAATATCCAGTGTCATTTTGCTGTTTGTACATTGGGGACTGCATCGGGGGCTAGGACCCGCACTCGAACAACACTGTGGGCACAACACATGTGGTTGGGACCGTTGCCCGACATCGCTCGTCTGGTGAAAGGGCATCTTTCTTGTCATGTGATAAACTTGATTTGAGTGAGGCTGAACACGCACATCAGTTGACGAAGCTTCTCCTGGCACCGTTTCATGAATGCCTCAGCATAATCCTGGAATACGCGTTGACTGCAACACCCATGCTGTTCGATTTCATGCTGTGCAAACACGTGTCACCCAGAAACACCACGGAATAGTAAAATTTTCATAACGAGCAACAAAAAAGAAATGATTCTCTGCATTAACCGCACATATTTGTAACTTTCAACTTCCAGGAGAGAGTGGGAAATCTGAAGGAAGGAGGGTGCTTAAGAAATGGAGGGAAAATTCAGGCGATATCCTGGTGTTTGTTGGCATAACGGTAATCAGGTTTATCGAGTTAGGATTTCAAAGGAATATTTGGGTGCATTTCGCAAGCTTGAAGATGCAGCGAAATTGGCGAACGAGTAAGTATTGACTGAGGAATGCAGGGTGGATTTAATGTGTAATGCTCAGCGACTGTTTATATGCGATCGATGTGCTGCGGTGCGGCAGCACTCAGCGTGAGTTACAACGTACAAAATTTGATCACATGTAAGCGGACTTGTGTGGAAAAGTACAAAACATGCATCCCTTGATACTCATGCAGTATAATACTCACCAGCAGAAAGAGCAGAAGCAACGTGGAAATGCCCTTTGATGAAACACAAACTGCAGCGTTTGTATGCTCATGCTTCCGCACGCACTTAACTACTAAACTTGAATGTGCGTTATTGGGCATTTACGCTGAAAAATCTAAAATAAAAGAACGGTGGAACGTGGCGAGCGTCCACAGGGACACATTTTAATAGAACGAACGGAGAAGAAACGTGGCTGTGGTTGGAAAATATCGTGTGCACCTGCGTTTTGATCGCGAAGGCTGCCTCTTGTAGCCTATGCAACGCCCTTTTTGTAATATCTATCTCATTGACATTC